TTCATTCTTTCAGGATTCGACACATGAAAGACAATGAAGAATCTCTTACGAATTTCACACGAGAAACGTCGGATGTTACAGTTATCAAGCTTTCATTATATATCTCGAGCACCGAAACTACACACGCTCGTATAGCTGAAACGGAAAGGCATACCCATATGCGATGATAAGACGCGTGACAAAAAGGATGCGAGTGGCGATCGCCGCCGCCACTCTCCCGTCTCTCCTGCTGCGCGCGATGCGTGTATTTTTAGAAATATTTTGCCGGGCGGGGGTGGTTCCGTGGATATACAGCGAACTTCGATTCCACCACGACACGCGCGAGAAGGGAAGGATTTTATTGAATGATACGCCGACATACCATGACCCAGTCGTATGAGCTCCTCGGGACAAAGGTTTCTTATAGCAACGGCCACGTCTCGCGTCAAGTTTCGCGAATTTGCAGAAAGTTTCGCGGACGGGGGGACAAATCCAGCGCTCGACTCCGCAGTCCGCGGAGAAAATTCCATTTCACTGATCTATACGAGACGCGGAAACTAACTGGGAAAACTGTTCTTCACCGGTCTGATGAGTTACGCTAGCTTGAGGTAGTTGAGAATAAGGGACACGTATATTTCTCTGCGCCGCGAGCACGGAAAAAGGATTATATGCTATGAAATTGCGAAAATATATTGCATACCTCTGCGAGAAACTAAAGGATAAAAAAATTTTCAATATCATTCATTAGTTATGTGTGGAAAATAATGCGATTAACACGTCACGTGTGATAAAATTGCATAAAATCGCACGCGATAATATAATATTTATTTTCTGTCTGCGATATAACGAATACAATGAATTATATTTAATTTTTCATTAAATTGTTTTTTACATTATTTTATTATATAACTAACAAAGTATAAAAATATGCGGGCAATGCGTCTATATACACAATGTATTTAAAGCTATACATTAAAATTGGGAATTATTGGTTCCTCGTAAGGCTAATTGCGTACGTTTTGATGGATATATAGTTAGTATTGACGGAATAATTTAATTATTGAATAGCGTTATACATTCAGACTTAATAGCTTTCATCATTTCTGGGAATAACATATTATCGAGAATAACGCGATTCGAAAAATGCGGAGTCATTACAGCATGTAAGACCTTTAATGTGGGTGGAAAAGCGGCTTTTACATCCATTCGACAATATACATATCATGTGTGCATTCATAAATGTTTCAAAAATCGTTTTTTTTCTCTAAATTAATCGCGTGTTACATCGATAAATTTTCTACAAACAGGAAATATTTACTCCACTGCATTTTTTATTTGATTTAATCCGAATCGGGTTGAAAAAAATAATATACAGTTCAGCGATTCATTGCAATGCAAGTAAAAATTCACTTGTCTTTAAATATTACTTATGTATTGTAGTATATAATTTTATATCGTTTTATATTGCACATTATTATTGTATAATACTAATTATTGTATAATAATAATTATTATTGTATATACATAATTATTGTATTACGGTGATTGTAAAAACGTGTCGAGTGAAACTTTTTGTGCAAATTATTTATAATGCGTCGCGATTTATTTATAGTATAACAACCACATGTCTTGTCTAGCGATTATACTTCTTATTTATAAATAATTGTTTATAAATAGCGATAAATAGACAGTAATATGCTTATTGAAGGATTGTACATTAAAGCCAGGTTTGATTTTTGCGAAAGTTAGAATGTAAGTAGAACCAAACTTCTGTCTTTATACCACAGAATATGACAATTGATTTTTACGAAAACTACGGCGGGCTTAGCTCTCGGGTATTTTGCGGCGGACGTGATTAAAAAGGATGTTTTGATCCTACGGCTCATCCCTTTCTAACGCTAATTAAGCGTCTTCTGGGAAATTAAATGCGTTAGGCGACGGGGGTTCTCGAGTTCTCCGCGTCTTAAATTAAAAAGAATTACTCCGCGAATAGATATAAGTACGTA